CCACAGATACTCACCCTGTTTTAGTCAAACAATTCGGTTTGGTACTGGCCCCTCTAACATAAGCTTCATTTTTCTGTGTATCTGAGGCTTTGCATTTGGGATTATATGGATCCCAGGTAATGGTAACCACAGGACATTTTAGTTCAAAATAAGTAAATTTGCCTTTTTTTTTTTTTTTAAACTGGAAGTAAAAATGCCGCATGAAATCTTGGGTTTAACATGCTATTTTGTTTATGTAAAAATAGAGATGTTTAGTTTATAAGATTGAAGAAAAATTGCTTTTTAATTCCCACTGTTGTTCTCCAGTAAATTTTAGTGTGGCATTGTCTGCACTGGATAGGTCACTGAATGGTGCTTTTATAAAAGTGTTTGAAAAGAAGAACTTGGTCCATGGAAATTGTTCAAATAATCTTGTTAGAATGAAGCCTTGACTGAAGGCAGTAATTTCATGGATTAAACCCAGAAGGGCTGGCTGGGCTGATCTCCTTCCTATCACAGGCCACAGAGCTTTGTGCAGAGACTGTCTAAGCAAATGCTGGTTAGCTGCAAGACATGGGGGATTTTGCATGGACAATACATTGAACACCATGAAACTGGAAACTGGAACTTTGTGAGGACAGGATAAATAGGAGCTGGAAGAAAGAGTATTTTTACAGGCCATTTAGGAAACACAGTGAGGTAGAGTTGTTGCATCTAACTATGTTCAGATTTCCCCTAAAAAGTTAATTAAAATTAAGAGAGACTGTTTTTTCCCCCCCAGTCAATCCTTTTCTCTCACATGCCACATGTGGTCCAGAACTGAGCAACATGATGGCACATCCAACTATGGGAAGGAATTGCCTGGTTTGTACTTCTGCAAGTCTGAAAAGCACCAATTATGAACAAAAATCCAGTGCTGTGAAAGCTGAAGAGAAATAGAGATAGAAGAATACAGTGTGCATCTGTCTTACAGTCTGATTTTTTTCCATTTATAAAAATAAATAAATAAATGGCATTCATACATCTTCTGAGCCAGCCTGTACTTTATTGTGATTCATGAGAACTTTTTGTAGGCAAGAACAATGTTCTGCTTGCATTTCTTCAGGCATGTCAGATCTGATTGGGGATGGGCACAGTACCACGGTGGTGCTGCTGTTGTTCAGTGAGATACAAGAGAGACTTCAGGAAACCAGAAAATTGGCTGACTACAATGTGCTGCCATAGCTACTCCTGGAGTGCAGGAGAGCAGGTGACCGAGGAGGAGAAGGAGGAACTTGTGGAAGAGTACTTTGTTATTGCTTTGTCATAAAGGATGATCACAAAGGGATTGATCAGTGCTGTGGTCTGAGTGTTGCTCTGACACTGAAGCTGCAAGTTGTGGCCCTGAATGTGGCTGGAGGATTTTCTGCTGACCATGTTTAAATTTCTTCCTGAGGCTGCTTTGAGTGCATGGGCTGCACTAGAGAAGGAGTATGAGCTGCAGAATGAGTGTAAGGACTTTAGGAGCAGCAGTTTAGCATGAGGGCAGTATAAGATGAGCTCCTATTGAAGGGCTTTAGCCCTGCTCTCCCACACTGTGCAGTTGGTAATTGGGCTGCAAAGTATTGGCACTCTCAGTGTAATTGTATATTGCTTCCATTCTCATTAGTGAAGCAATGCAGGAGGAAGGAATACAAAAAAATACAGATTATAAAGATTGTGAAGGAAAAATCAGTGTTCTTGAGGGTTTTTTCTAAAATGCTGTATTTTTCTTTTCCCACCACTAGTTAGCAAGCTGCATTTATAATCCACCTGTGCTGCAGATTGTAATACCTCATGGTGTGGTGTTTCACACATGATAAACCATGGGACTTGTGAAGACAAATTGCACTGAATTAAACAGTCTGTTGATCCACTGTCACTGGATGTCAGCTGTCTGTTGCTCCATTGTCATTGTCTCTATTTGGAGAACAACGCAAACTCCATACAGTTGAATTGCTGACCATAATGTATGTGAGGTTACAAGGACAGAGTGAGTAGTGTTGTCTTCCTCTGATCACCCAGGTAACCACAAATTTACTCTTGGGCTGCTGCTAGAACATTAGTCTGTAAATGCCCTCCTGAATCCCAGGATGGTTATGTGCATTCAGGTTGGTAAGGTATTAACCACCAGTCTGGTTTCTGGGGGTTAATATGAGAGTATAAACTTGCACCACTCTGAGAATAAATATGCACCATTCTCTTCTCAAAGTGGAAGCATGTCCAGGCCTCTGGCACACCAGTGACTCCTGCAGTCATGTTTGTGGTTCTGTCTCCATGCTCCACCAAAATGTAATTAGTGCTCATATATGCTGGAATGGCACATTCACCATCACTACTCCCAGAATGGGCTGGGAAGTCCATTTGGTCTTCAGTTTTGGAGACCTCACTTTTAATGACTTGTGTACAAACCCCTGCAAAGGTTCTGGTAAATACCCACTGCTGTTCCATTGCCCCCTGCCTTGCCTGTCTGGGATGGGCAGCTTCCAAATTCCAGCTCCCACCTGACCTTAAGATGGCATGACCCGCAGGTACCTGGACTTTGATGTCACAGCTTTGGGGGAATTAAGGGGACTCCATCATTAACTTGACCTCCTTGACTGTCACTCAGTCCATGTTTGAGTGGTAGCAGATGGGTGAATAGCACATTTAACTCTGAGTGTTGGTACTGACAGGGTGAAAGGAAGAGCCACAGCAGAGGCAGTGGGAGTGCAGGGTGTCTCTCGTGTGGGGTAAGTCACGTTTGGGGTGGCTCAGCTGCCACACTCACGCAGCTCTGGGGGCACTCCTGGCAGGAAACCCGGCCCAGCTTGTGTGCAGCTCTGTGCCAGCTCACCCAGCCTGGTGGGAGAAGGTTGGGGCAGGGACAAGATCAAGCAGTGTAGTCCACCTTGAGCCAAGAACTTCTGCATAAGCTGCATGGAGACATTAGCTTGCACATATACCTCTCACATGCTGTAAATTACATGAGAAACTATAGAGGTGATGTGCTTATGAGTAAGAAGTGAACTGATGGAAAAATGATGCTTTATTTTGAAAGGCATGGAAAAGAATAAAAACGAGATATAAGAAACCAAAACTTTGTATGATTGATTGGAAGAGAAACATGTCATTAAATCCTTGAACAATGTGAAGTTGGTCATCAATTCTGACACTACTTTTTGCCCCTTGGAGGTCAGTGAAACTATAAATTAAGGGAATAATGTTTTGCATATGTTTGAAATAGACATTTTTTAACTTTCACTGTTTCCAATCCCAATTTTTGATGGATGCCCAGTAGTAATTTTTAAAATACTGAATGATAAAATCACATTTTATCCAGGAGATAAAATTGAAATAACAGATGTATCTTTCATCACTAATTTTGAATATTTATTCTTTGCATTTCATTTATCCTAAACATTTTTTTTATTTCTATAGTTAGACACTGACTAATTTTTCACTGTATTAATTTTGTTGGGACAACAGTGGCTGGTTATTCCAAATATGAGTAAGGACAGCAAGCTTGGGCTTGTACTAATTTTGATGAATGAATTTGCCTTGAGAATGACAAATTGTGTTAGTACTTTTCACCTTATAACATTAGACAGTCAAAGATGTTAACACTTTGTAGGGAATGAGCATTAGGCAGTGTTTGGAACTGCTTATAGGGAGCTTTCAGGTGCCTGGTCTCAGCAGAAACTGCAAAAAACCTTTCTCTATTTTTATTATAGTGAAAGAATGGTGTGATTGAAAAGCAAGGTGTTGAAAGGAATTTCACTGTAATAGCAAAATGTCCTTCCTTTCATTTTACTCCCTGAGTTCTAAAATAAGGATATTTCTTTGCCAGTTCCTTTGAATTTTCTTGATTCTGAGTTGGCATAATGATGGCAGGAATAGTCCATAGAGGAATAATCCTCTCTGAGTCCGTAGAGGAATAATCCTCTCTGTGTATGGTGAGGGGAAAGAAAGAAGTACCCCACTGCCATGAGATTCTCTGCAGTTGTCTTTTGTAGGTTCACAACAATGTTACAGAAAGTGCGGTCTTGATTGATTTCTTGTCTTTTATTTATTTTCTTTATACATTTATTTTGCAGTTGGGGTGAGGGGATGCAATTGTATGTCAGGAAGCAGCCACAAGGGGAGAGAAATACTAGAAATTTAGTTGTAGCATTTTTCCTGGTAGTATTAGTTGGGTGTTTCTCTGTCTTGGTCTGGTCAGGGCCTGGTTTTGGATGAAAGGCTTTCAGTTCTTCCAGGGGATTGTGGGGTTCCAAGAAAAGGGATGATAATAGCTGTGTAGGGATAGCTGATGCTTTTTATTGTATTAGTCTTATTGGATTTATTCCTTCTGGTTTACTTTACTGAAAAGAGAACCCTGGAAGGGAATAATAACTGGAGTGTCTTATTTTCTTGCCACTTTGCTAATTTTGCTATACATATTTTTGTATTATAGATTTCTTACTCAGTAAGTGAAACCATTGTATGAATCTTATCTTCATCCTTTGCTTTTGTAAGGTAGGCTGGTTGGTCTTTTATAAGTTAGGGCTCAAACATGAAGTTATCACATCCATTCAACTCTGTTTTTGTTTGGGTTTAGCTCCTTGGCTTTTGAACAGTCCTGCTCACAGAACTGTGATGGAAAACTTGAACCATTTTAATTTTTTTCTGATTTGTGGGTGGGTGGGTCCAGGTGATATCTTTGAATCTGCAGGTTAGTGAGAAAGAAAGACCTTTCTTGACCCATGAAATTTCCTGCATGAATTTTTGATAAAAAAATAAAAATCTTATTCTGTTTCTTTTTTGTCTTAATTTTCCAGGAAACACAACATGCTTTGACAGAATTCAGAGGACTTTGGAAGACTTTGTCTGGAAACAAAAACTTGTGGATTTGAAATATGTTACTGTAGTTCTCCTCTGACATTACAGCCTGGATGCCTGCTGGCCCTGCTCTGCAAGGCTGAGGCTGCCTCCCACCTTTGACATTTTGCCATGATCTTTCCTCCTTGAAGGGAGTGCTGTAAATGGGGAATCCCTCAAAATGATCTGTCCTCAGAATTCTCATTTAAATGGTAAGTCTGGTTGATAGAGATCTGCCACATAAAGCAGATAAGCTGGAGATACAACGAAATGCTACACTAGCATTTCTTGCTAACATACTGTGTTTTCAATCAAAATATTTTTGTTGATAAGTTTGGCTTTTTGGTAAGGAAAGTATACTTGCAGAAGCACATATTTAGACATGCCAAAAACCCCCAAACAATCCAACCAGAAAGTGTTTAGCTGAAAGCCTCATTTCCCATCAAAAATAGATGCAGTGGAAAATTTTCCAGCAGCCCTATATTTAACCTCCTTGGATCAGAATTTGGTTGTTGGACTGAGGGAGGCTTACAGAGGTTTTTGGCTGCTTTTGTTAGGGTGTCTGTTTTTTCACTCATGACATCTGCCTGCTTTTCAAGCTGTATTCAACCTTGTTATAACTCTTGCTATTGCAGCATTTTACTGTGTTCAGAATGCTAATTCCCACTGGACTCCCCTCACTTGAGTATGTGCAAACTCAGTTTCCTTCAAGGGATGCATCAATCTTGCTCCTTTTTTTATTTATTTATTTTTTAAATTTTGAAGTTTACTGAGAAAATATGAGTGCTGTGTACTGACTGTGCACAAAACAGTTATCACTACAATGCAGCTCCTAGTTCTTTGCCCAAGGTAGCCTTGCTTTGGCATGTTGTGGATACAAAAGTTTATATAATTTTAAGGGATAATTGGATAAGTGAAAGAGAAGATCCATTGGGCAAAATAAATAGATAAATCACATCAGTCTCAGGAATTCTTGAGTGGAATATGGTTGATATGCTGGAGAGTTATTCTGGGAAAAAAAAAATTTGTTTTCTTTGCTCCTGCTCTCTTCTCTTCACTCTGACTTATGCCTGCTTTTGGAAGCAGGTTATTGACCTAAATGAACCTTTGATCTGAATTGTCATAGCTATCCTTGGATGAGGAGAAGTACACTGACAAATGCGTAAGTGTGGGCTTTGGCCATCTGGAATTCAGCAAAATTTATCAAAAATTATTTTATTTTTCACCAAGAAAAGTACAAGCAAATCACTAAATATATAGGAATAAAGAATTTTGTCTGAATAGATTGTGATTCTGGAGTCAAGCACTCTGTTGATTTATTTTTTTAAGTAGGTTTTGCAGCTTCATTTCTCCTTTGTTGCTTTTTGTAGAGGTAAAAATATGCAACAACTATGTCTCAAATACAACTGTGAACCTTTTTTGTGTTCTTCCAAAGTTGGTGGGTGGAACATTAGTGTGAGAATCCTGCAAAATCCATTGGACATTGTATTATGACAAGAAGAAAAAACAAAGCAGATATTAAAAATCAGGGAGGAACATTGTTAGTATGATCTGCATTAGTTTCAGCATGAGTTATATTCTGTCATTAGCTCAGTGTCAGAATGCAGTTTGTAGCCAGAAGCTACCACCAACTGGCAACATGAGGCATTTCCTAAGCAAAAGTTTTTTTCTTATTTTTTCTCTTATTTTTATTCTTTATTGCTTGTTTTCTATTCTAACAGCTTCACAGAAATATCTTTCCAGATATTCTTAACTTTGTTTCCATGGTAGTTTAACTTAGTTCATGACTGCTAAGTAATACTTTGCTGTTAAAGTCTTCTCAGGTATTAATGGTAAAATCTGTAAAGGAGAATACTCTTGGTAAAACAGCAGACTTTTTTTCTATATTTTTAATAATTCTTTTAATTTACTTCTTCAGAATTTTTATGATTTCCTGAAAATAGATATATTTAGTTTTACTCCTGTGTGCTTAAATTTACCTGGGTGTTATATTGGCCAAAATAGGTGGGACCTCTTTTATTTCTTTTCCTGACATGGCAGACACTTTTTATTCAGATTTCTGCCAGCACAGATTTATTATAGTACATTGTCAGTCCTCGAAGTTCCCTTTTATTATTTTAGAACTATTTAGAATAAATATTTGTAAGAAAATATAATAGCCAGACAACATTTAAAAAAAAGAAAGAGTTTGAGTATTGTTGAGAAATAGATTCATCAACCCAAAGTGTGGCAGGAAGGACAACAGAGAAAGGAAAGCACAATATTGAAGCATAAGAGTGAGCTCATATGGTGCCAGCTGCTCATGTGTGGAATCTAAACACTTTCTGAAGCATAGTGCTCCACAGTCAATTAGCATTAATCCAAATAATCATTGTACAGGGAAGAAATTTTAGTGCATTAGAATTCATGAGTTGGAAAAAGTTGAAAAAATATATTCATGCTTTCCCAAAAAAACCCAGTAAAAAATATGTAAGTGCTATTAAAATTCATTTAGAAATTCTGTGAAGTGAAAGAAGATATTGTAATCCTGTCTATAGTGTGTCAAGAATGGCAGAATAGTGCAACTTCTCTCACATAATTTGTATGGTTTAATCAGAATTTTTATGATAATGTCAAGAACTGAGAAGCAAATACAGTTGCAAAATCTGTCCACTCTTGAAATTGAAGACTTGAGGGGAGTAATTGGGTGCAAAATAAACATGTGTTCACAGGTAATTGGACCGACACTATTAGATTTCTTTCATTTCAGTACTAGGTACTAATTACTTTAACTTCAAGGAAAAGAGAAGATTACATCCTATAAACTTTCTCATACATAATAATCTGTCCTCTTGTGATGCTGGTTACTTGAAAATGTCTGTTTGCTTGAGAAAAGGTTTGTCAAATCAGGTGGTTAAATGGGAGGCAGGAAAACAAAACTGTTTTTTAGTGGGAGTTAACTTTTGGAGTGTGGGGCAGAGAATGGACAATGAATATCACCATCTTTTAAGTGTTCAGTATTATTAAAACTGTTTTCCTTATTGAGAGTCCTTCATTGGCAGAAAATTTGTGAAATAAGCTGTGAAGGCAAATGCTGTGGTAAAACATATATAAAGAATCTAATGTCAGACCCCAGAGTTAAGGCATACATCTTCTACAGACTTAGGAAATTATGAGGATAAACTGAAAAAGTGTTTCTATGCTTAGAAAGCCCAATTGTCATTGTATATATCAATCTCTTGTCTGTTTTGTAGACATGTTTGTGCTATCTAACTAGCATTTTTAAAGCAAATAATATTTTTACAAGAGCCACTAATTTAGTTTGGGATATAAGAAATAGTTGTTAGTTTTATGGGTGTTGTTAACTTTATGGGTAGTAAATGTGAATGTAATAATTTTCAATTTTGAATAAGCTGCTTCATTCTGTATATAAAACGAAATAGCTTCAAGGTGCTTGGTTTTGTAATTAGCAAATGTCTAGTTGATCAAAAATATCCTCTCTAGGATGAGGCATGGAGCTTAGTCTAGACTGTGTTACAGAATAATGTGATTATAATGATTTCCTTAAGAGAGCACAAAGCAGCATCTAAGTTTCAGCTGACGTTTATTGACACACAGCATCTGTTAGGAGCCCCATCAAACTTTCTATTCTTTTCTGTTTACCACCTCCTGCTTTTATTTACAGTCAGCATATCTGTTAATTAGCCTCTGGTAGAGCCAGTTCTTCTAAGAAGATCTCTTGTCTTCCTGGTGATGGCCCCATGAGGTGACCATGTACACACAGTCTGGGAGTGAATTAATCTTTAACTCCTTAATTTCAGTGCCTGATTCTGCAGTGTTTAACTGCTGGCTTGGGTTCCTGCTCAGCAATTTGTATTTGGGGAATTGTGATCCTTGACTTCTGCCAACCTCAATGTCATGAACACATCCCATGAGCTCTCAGCTTCTCGTGGGTGACCTCACTGAAAGTCATATCTTCCTGTAGGTTTTTGGTTTCCTGTGGTTGGGAATGCAGAATGCACAGACTTCCTATGTGTCACTGAGGTTATTGGCCTAGTTTTTATTGCATATTAGCAGAATAAAATTACTCCTGCACTTCCTCATATCCGAATGCAGCATTTTGCAAAAAAAAATCCCAAGTGATGTTGCAACACGTGGATCTCACAAGAGGATGCTCTGGAGATTGCCACACTTTTACAGAGCCTTGTGATGATGTGAAGCTGTTTATAGCCACGGGCTGGGTGCTAGAGGTGCTTCTTGGGGTGCACTTCTCCCCCAGCGCGGCTTGCTGGTTAGAAAAGAACACGTTATGGCTGTACTTGAAGGAAGAACTCAGGAGAGGATACAGGGATCTCCTGCCAGGCCTGCAGTGTGTGCTGGAAGCGCTTTGAGAGGTGAGGGCTGATGTGCGCATCTCTCCGGGGTGTTAATGGTTGTTTGTTTCACCTGGAACCTGAGAAAGGAGTGACTGGGCCACTCATTTGCACAGTCATCTGCGGGCAATGCCTTCAGTGATGGCCGAGTTCCTCACTTTTGCCCTCTCGCTCCTCCAGCTGAGGAGCAGCCAAGCTCTGAAGGCTTAAGCAAAGGTTAAAGGTGTCCTTGAAATCCTGCCCAGTGCAAGGGCAAGTATTAAAAGCCATAAAGTACATGCTGTGGCAATGTGAACATTTTTTCATAATTTAATGAGAGCTATACTGATAAAAATTCACAGTTTCCGTTATAAAAAAAAAAGAAAAGAAAAAAAACCCAACAAAACAAACCCAAACCATCCAACCAACAGCATAATCCCTGGAATACATCCAGCTTTTGTACTGGAAAAGTACCTCAAAGGAGTATGATCTTCTCTCTTTAGTGGGAAAGTTTTTTTGCTTATCTAAAAGGTTTTATGCTGGCAGAACTGCATTTCATTGTCTACTTTTTGTGGCTAGACAGATCCAGGTAAAGTAACTTAGTTTTAAAGGAACTACAAACCTTAATTCCTTTAAATCAAATTAAATTCCTAACACATCCACATGTCCAGGATGCTGTGAAAAAATACAAAATAATTAAAAATAGAAGCTGGATATTTGCTACTGATAGTTCATGGCTTTGGAGGGCTAGTGGTGATGCAGTGTTGTGATAAAAAATCAATAAAAAGTATCAGTTAAAGTTTCCTTTCACAGCTTTAATTGTAAGAAGTCAGTGCTGACTGATCTGTTAATGTTTCATGGGGAAAGTTGACACTGAGGGGAAGGGATGGGTGACATTTCTTCAAAACGTGGTAACTGCATTTACTTATTTTGTGGTTGAAGGACAGAGAAATAAGAGATGCTGAAAATGTTTTCTAAAATTATGTGGCCCTCCATCAGTGTTTTATAGGTATTATTTAAGCCATCTTTGCTAAGGAGAAGCTCCTTTGCTATTAATATGCTGTCATCTTTCAAATCTCATCAAGGCAGCACCAGGATTTTTTTGCACAGATTTCTTTTGACGTACAGCCTCAATAAATATGGAAATTACAACTTAAATCTCATTTTTTTTCTTGCAAAGAAGTGCAGTGCCCAAATTCATTGAATTCCACTTTTATTTTCTCTTAATGTTGAAAGACATATATGCAAATTTTATTAACAATATGCATAGTTAAATTTAGGTGTAAATTCCAGTCAGGGATTTTTGCTTTGTTTATTGTCCAAGTCAATATGTCTGTGGAGAAAACCTCCTGCTGTGCAGGAATACATAGTCAGCTACTTGGAAAAGTAGAAAGTTTAATTATGAGAGTTTATTCTGGAAAAAGGTAAAGCAAGCACTGGTTTTTGCGTTGGGTTTTTTTAATTATGACTTCAGCTAACAGAAATTCAACACACACAGTTTGTTTTGACACTAACTGTTATCAGACAAACCACTTGATTTTTCTTTAGCCTGGTCTTCTGTGTAACTGAGAGGCTCTGAAAAAGTAGAGGGTCATGAATAAATGATGCATTTCTTAAACTTGCAAGGTAGATCATGACATAAATGAAATAAAATCCAAGTGTGAAGGGAAAAAAGAAGCATAAACACATGTATTGCTGACAATATCTTCATTAAAATACACTTTATCCTACAAAGATATTAGTGTCAGATGCAAATTTCCTTTGTTGCTCTCTCTGAAGTTTTTCTGATTTTTTGTGTGGTAGCAGTGAAGTACCTTTATACAAGGTATTT